AGCTGTGAAGCTTGGACCATCTGAGGGGATCCTGGAAGTAGGACCATGATACAAACCTGGTACATGAGCTAGCTTGTTGGAGCCCATTTGCTGTGGTGGGAAGCCATGCTCAACCTTAATGCATGGGAGAGGGGCTTGGCCCTACCCCAACCTATTGTGCCAGACTTTGACTCCTCATGGGAGCCCTTACACGTGAGGAGGAGTGAGCTAGGGGTGTGTGTGAGGGGGTGAGGGGGAGGGAGAAGTGTAGTTGGAATGTAAAATGACACTTAAAAGAATAAATTAAAAACTGGTTTCACAGATAATTCTTTACTCAAGAACAGTAGTTCTCAACCTTCCTAATGTTGTGACCCTTGAATGCAGTTCCTCATGTTGTGGTGACCCCCAACCATAAAATTATTTTTGTCATGACTTCATAATTGTAATTTAGCTACTGCTATGAACTGTAATGTAAGTATCTTTTTTTTCTGATAGTCTTAGTTAGTGACCCTTGTGAAAGGGTTGGTTGACCCCCCTAGTGATCACAACCCACAGGCTGAGAACCATTGTTCTTGAGGTTCAAATGATTAATTTGAACAACTTTGTTCCTCTGACCTCTTTAGTGCTAGGATTACAGGTGTACACCACCAGGCCTGGTTTGACATAGTGTTTATATTGTTTGTTTTGTTAACAGTGTCTGCATGGGAGATATATTTTTAAATGAATAATTTATACAGAAATAGAATACTTTTGACAAATATCTTATGAATTCTCATTCATCTAGACACCTTGGTCTGACTTACATGAAAACAAATCTCTCCGATAAGAGAGACTCATGTCTTTTAGTAACTATGCTTTATTTGCAGTGCATTATGATACATAAATTTAAAAATAGAATTAATAAATGAGGTTAGGAAGACATAAAGCTACTGACATATTTATTTTGAGTTTAGAAACTCACTACTGCTAAAAAGCCAGGAATTTCATTAGCTTCACAGTAACATTTCTGCTGACAGCTTCAGCCATTTACAGGAGTGAAAATGGTCTACATTTATTAACTATGAATGATTATTAACAAGTGATGTTTTATATTAGAGTTTCACAATCTCAATTTATAGTAGCAATGTGTATTTAGATCATTATCCTCCCAAACCAGTAGCCATAATGAAAGCATTAGGGCACACAGAATCCCCAAATGGTTTTCTTTACAGCAGAATAATCAGGGGCTGCTGCGATGGCTCAGGTTAAAATTGCTTGCTGCTGAACCTGATGCCTGTGTTCAATCTCTGAAACCTACATGGTGCCAGGAAAGAACCAGTAACCTCAAGTTATCCTCTGACCTTCATACTCACACCATGGTACATGAGCAAGTGTACATACATGAGCATAACACACACACACACACACACACAGAGTAAATATAAAATAATAATCAAGAGACTGATACTCAAGAATTTTTCAGTCTTCCCTGAAAGCACTACGTAGTGTGTACAGGACACCAAATTTTGGTTAGATTCTGTTCTTGACATTAGTCTGGTTTACAGATATACTGTGAAAACAATTACTTCATAGCATCAGTAAGCACTACACTTGTCTCCTGTCAGTCTATGAAAATATTGCCAAAGAGTAAAGACATTAAATTGATTCAGCTGGAGCTACTTCTTACTCAATATACACCCACATGGATTTAATTTTTCTGCTGATATATTAATATAATCCTTTGTCTTTCCAAAGTTGGAAGAAATTTGATGAATCTCTGCTGGAATCTTAAGTCACAAAGTTAGAAAGTATGTTTTCTCATTTATAGACAGTAGTGATTTCTGTTTAAGCAATTATTTTAATTACCAATGGAAGAGTATGACTACAAGTAATATATATGTCAATATGATTATAATAGATTTTTTCCCTTCTAAAAGAAATGGGCTAGTTTCTCTAAGTGGCGATATAAATACACATGTACGTGCATATAGCAGGAAAGTGTCCAAATCTATTTATTTATTTAATAAATATTAATTAAGAACCTACTACATGCTACTTAGTACAACTCAAAATCATTACTTTTAAATTATTCTGGAATGAAAAACAGAAAGGACAATTCCAGGTAAGTGTAGCCTACAACAACTATTCATTGTCTGGCCACATTTTTTTCATACTGTTCCTAGTATACATATGTAATAGATAATCTCTTTTAGTTGACACTTGACTTCTGACTTCAAAATGTTTCATGTATTCAGGATACTTAACACACTCCCTGGCCTTCTCTCATCACCCAGTCCACTCACTCAGGACTGCCCTCTAGATGTGCCACTGGCTTTTCTTTTTCTCTTCTAAGTTAGGGCCACTCTGTCCTACTTTGCTTTGTTCACATCTCATAATTCAACCCATCTCTTTCTTATAATGGAAAATTTGTGCCTTTAAGCCCATACACTTTTTTGGATACTTTGGGAAAGCTATTCCTCTCTCTGTGTCACTCCCTCCCTCATGAGGTGGTGGGGAAAGTTTGTGAGTGTGTTGTTCATGTATGTGCATGTATGTGTGTGTGGGTATGCATATAGGTACGCATGCTAGTGGAGGCCAGAGGTTAATGTTGAGTGCCTTCCTCTGTTTCTCTCCACCTTATTTTACCGAGACAAGCTCTCTCATTGAACCTGGACCTCAGCAACAGAGCAAGATTAGCTGGTGGCAAACTCTAGAATCCTATCTTCACCTCCCTAGCACTAATAACACCACAACTGGATGTTTAAGAGGGCTCCAGGATGGCAAACACTGTACTGACTATCTCACCAGCCTCTCCTTTCCATTGATGTAGGCCACAGAAGCAATCCAGTCCTCAGGTGGTACTCTTACCAGATACCTACCATGTGCTACTCACTGTACTAGACTCCAGGACTGCTACAGAGAAGCAAAGATTAGAAAGTTTCCTATACCAAAAGAAATCTCTGACAGCAATGTTAGACTGACACTATAAAAATTGAAACCAACTTTGGAAGTACTTGAGAATCCCATTTAAGCAGCATCCTTCCAAACACAAATATACCTACTTTGTATTACACTGCTTTTCTTTCTTTCTTTCTTTCTTTCTTTCTTTCTTTCTTTCTCAGGCTTGTCTCGAACTCACAGGGATCTGCCTGCCTCTGCCTCCTGAGTGCTGGGATTAAAGGCATGCGCCACCAACACCTGGCAGCTTGCTTTTCTTTAGGCATAAATATGCAGCAAAAATAAAGCACCTTCCCATGGTTGTTTCACATTTGGTTTTTGGCACTAGAACTGATTTTTTAATCTGTCACAAGGTGACAATGGTCTTTCCATAGTGTGACTAAATTATATTCTCAGCCTATAATAAAAGCCTAACAGGGAAATGGATTCTTACACTCAGCAGTCTGCTCACTAATGAACTTCTGAAATAAGTGTTTGTCAACTGACATGGCATAGTCTTTACTTCTATATTTACATTACTATGGGCTTTAGAAATGGTTCCATCACTACATAACATTAGCAAATTAAAGCAATTCCCCCCCCCCAGAAGACTGTCAAGTTTAATGTAAATTCCATCCATCTAAGAATGGAGTACTGATATTACATAAAGAAGTAAAAGTGCCTCACCCTCCCTGGGGAGTACATGGGGGATGAAATGGAGGGGGGTTGGTGAAGGGCATGGGAGGATGGGAGGGAGAGGGAACTGGGATTGATATGCAAAATAGGATTGTTTCTAATTAAATAAAATTTATAAAATACTTTTAAAGACCTATCACAAAAAGAAGTAAAAGTATTGACTTTATGAGTACGACAGTTTGTTCAGAAGTTTCCACAGACCAACTGAATTGATTCTTATATATTAGATCAACAAACTGCAGGAAAAAAAAATAAGCCACAAAAGAAAACCTGTTCTACAGGCTTCTGCACACATAGAATAGAGGAGCTACTGGAAAAAGCAAGCCATTTTACATCCAGGCTCTAAGCCTGATGCATGTTTACTGGCTCTCTGTGGGAGTATTCATTTTAATTAATTTTTTCTACCTTAAAAGACTCACTTGAATCAATAACTGATGGCACATAGTTTTGGAGGCTAGCGTAGGGTAGAATAGAAACTTTTCTCAAAATAGCAAAATTCTTTATGCAATGAATCAATTTAATAATTAACAACATATACTTCTTTCTACAGGAGAATAATCACATACTTTATATGCACACCTTTTTACATAACACATGTTTATACCTGTATATTATTTACAGCTGTAGAGAATATACAATATCCTTTTAAGGATTACACAAATGAAGGCTTTATTGGAATGTAAATAAATGTAGTAAGAATTTACTTCCTTTGCTCTTTTATATACATATATTTCTAGTTATATTCTCTGCAAGAGAGTCACATGGTAACTTGGCATCACTATAAGAAGAAAGTAACTGCTTAACACTAATGTCTAAAAATGTATATTCAGTCATCTAACATCAATGGTAAGTTATATAGGTAAATTATCTCCTTTTTATTTTTCTTATAGAACTTTGGAGAAACCAGGTGTTACTTTGGATTTCACAGTAGCATTTAACATTTAAATTACATGTACTTTCAATTATTACTAATACTTTAGTTGAATTACGGTGAAATGATAAAATTCATAGTAACCTATCACATCAAACAATATAACAATGGCTTTAAATTTATTGACAATATACAGATAACTTCTAAATCTTCAAGCACTTAATAGAAAAATGTGAAGAACAGAACTCTGCCACTATTTTATTTTTGGAAACTGTAAATAAAAAGACATTTCCAGAATAAGATATTTGGAGGACACAGAAAAGCTGGCAAGGATTCAAGTGCCTTAGGCAACAGAGAAGTATTGTTTTGTAGTTGTTGTTTTCTCAGACCTCTCCTAGTAACAGAGTTCATCATGCAGAGAAACAAGCAACAGTCTCATTTAACGAGAACATGTAAGCATGGCTGTAGAACTCAAGTATGCCTTATTAATTCACTTTCCTTAACCCAAACCAATACAGACAACCTTGCTGATACTTACCGAGGGTTACAGAAACTCCCCAGCTTGTCTAAGCAACAAAAAGAAGACCCATGGTGAGGTGCTGAGGACAGCTCTTTTCTCAGGTTCAAAGCACTTTAGATGAAGTAGCCTTTCTCTTCCATTTAATAAAGGGTGCCTCCTCCAACTCAAGTGTGGTGGAGAAAGACTGCACAATTCTGTCTTGACTTTCTGACTCTCTGAAGAGTAACAGTTACCACCGGAAAACGTTAGAAGAAAATGATCACTTGAACACTCACAGAGAGCTGCAGTAAATTTCCACTCTGCTTGCTCTCAGATTCCAAGCCTTGCTTGTCTCTTAATCTGTCATAGGCAGTTCTGTTTCTGGTCAAACCAGCTTGCTTATTCGTTCTCTCCCTCTGTAGCACAGGGGTTTGACATGCACACCACACAGTCAGAGCTCCTTTCCCCCCCTCCCTCCCCTATTGTGTAACATTACAAGAATGCCTGTAAAGCAATTAAGCAGAGGCAAAATTAATTCTTGGGCAAAAAGAAAAGTGTCAAGATAAACAAAAGAAAAATTTGCCATCACTTTCCTCCATTCAAGTTTTGAACCAATTCTTGTATGGGATTTTGTTAAATGATTAAGCTGGCTCAACCATCTTGCTTTTAAAGAAATAAATGAAGATTCCCAGTAACTGCTTATTGACAGTAATAATAACAGACCTTACTACTAATGTGTTGGCTCCTTAGGCAGGATGCTCTGTCAAGATGAGAACGTGCAGTGAAGAGCTATGCAGGCACTACCAATTTAACCAGAAAGCAAGGCAGACTTCAGATTGTCTATATTTTAATTTTAACAGTGTAATTTTCTAAAAATGCAGTTAATTTTTAGTATATTATGTTTTCAAATGTAAATCAACACTTGCAGTTATAAGGAGAAAATTATAAGAACACAGAAAAATACAAACATCATAAATCTTACTAGGGCCTCTTAATGTTTTATTGCAAACTAGATGCAACTATTTCAACAGAAAGTTTTCTATACAAGCTTTTGTGGTCAAACTCCACTACACCTCTTCAGTGAGAGTTAGAAAGGTCACAGAGAACATTTAAAAATACATCGGTAACTGTATAGTAGAATACCTTATGTCTCTCTCCTCAGAGCTTGGAGACTAGGCTTTGGAGAAAGCAGAGGGGAAAGGGGAAAGGTGGTTCTGACGGCATTTTGAGGATTCTTTGGAATTGAAATTCCCAGTCAGTTACAGTTCTTTAGAGTTACATTCCAGCCCCCAAGTTCCAATATGCAATAGTCCATGTTTTTTTCTCCTGACAGAACTCCCAACTACAGATCTAACAACAGTAGTTATGGGACCTATTTCTCATACACTAATCCTTCTCGACAGAACTAAAGTATCTCTAAGAGTATGAACTCAATTAAAGTTTAAATATCTCTAAAAAGCTGTTTAAATGCCTGAAGAAAAATAAGTATATAAAATTTGACCTTGAAATATAGATTCTTGGGGCTAGTGGGATGGCTAGGTAGATAAAGGTGAAATTAAGTCTGGTGACCCAAGTTCAATCTGCAGGACCTACATGGCAGGAGGAGGGACCTGACAACTGCAAGTTGTCCTCTGACCACATGTACAGAGGGGCACATGTGCACACACACACACAATAAATAAATGTAATATATATGTATATATACAAATATATATATATGACCTTCATCTAAAACAGTGAAGTTGGAGGTAGCAGGTTTTGTTTTACAGTGCTGGAAATCAAATCCTGAGGCTTATGAATGCTGATCAAGTGCTTATCATTGAGCTATATTGCCAGCTAAAACAGAGCTTTGAATTTTAAACATACTATACATATTTAGATATTTAACACCTAAGAAAAGAATAGGTATCAAATTTATCTAGAGATTAGCCAAAAAATTCTTTCAATCACATTTGAAAAAAATATCAATTTTATGTTCTAGTCTGTAAGTCTCCCCCCCCTTTTCAAAACAGTGCCTCAATCTTTAAGTCAAATCTAGCCTTGAACAACACTTATCAGCCTCCTAAGTGTTGGGTTAACAGACACACCCAGTTCTTGACGTATCAAATGCAAGATACCCTAAATGGGTATGGGTCACTAAGTTCCTCACACCTTGGGATATATTCTCAAGAATCCTACCATAATCAAAGGAATTCAGAATCTGTAAGAGTGATTCTTAAGAAAACCACAAAGCAAATATTTAAAATAAAAAGACCTTGTATGAATAAACAGGGATTCAAAACTCACCATAGAAAGTAAGGTCCCTGGGGGACAAAGATGTTGCTCTCAGTGGCAGAGCACTCATCTAATCTGTCCAGGATGTACCAAGGCGTAGGGTTCTACCCCAGGCCTCCCAGCGCCTCTCACACCCAGAAATACATATAATTAATAAGATGGCCATTAGACCACAAAGACATCTATTTTACTTTTTCTAAAAGGTGAAGTGGGAGTGGCCTCCTTGTATGACCATAGCAATAAAAACGGAAGTTATAACCAGGAGCCGCGGGCCCCACCGAGGGGGGTCTGAATCGACAGTGGACACTGATTGACAGTGGACACTGATTGACAGTGGACACTGCTGGGGCTCCCCCCCGCCCGCCCCTTTTGAGTCTGTAAGGGTCACAATCAACTGGGAGCCTACTGGGAGCCAGGTATCATCAATGCAAAGTACTGTCCCAGGTCTCTAGGGCTAGGCACGGGAGAGAGGAAAGACAACAGCTCCATGCTATCTCTTGTTGCTGGAGTGGGCAGTACTCAGCCAAGTGCAACCTGTGACCCAAATAAAGCCCTGGCACTGGGCAGTTAGCATCACTGTAATGAGAGAGTACAGGGTGGGAAGACAGGGAGAGGCAGATGGTTCATGGACTGGGGAGATGGATCTGAAGAGGTGAGGGTGGTAAGGAAGGGCTGATGTGAGTGGCCAGCTGGCCACCGGAGTCCAGGAAGATGTGTGGGCCTGGGTTATGACCTAGGTCTTGATTTGGGGCCCTTGAGCAGCCAAGGGTGTCTGTGTTGACATCTGTGGCTCCTGCTGCAGCTGGGGGCCATTCGAAAGCCTGTGGTCTTGGCCACCACCTGGGGCCACTTTGGTGTCTGAAGGCTAACTGCCGAGCACTATGTCTGGGTCTGTAGTCAAGCCATGGCCGAGGTATGTGTTTGTATCCCCTGCCCATGTTAGTGCCAGCGCCACATGGATGCTTGCAGTCTATGACCATGTTGGTGGCTGAGGGAGGCTATGTTACTTCCAGGGCCAGGCCGATTTGGGTGACTAGGGCTGTCAGCTGGGGTGTATTATGTGGACCAGGGCTGTGCCACAGCCAAGGACTGTAGTGATGACTGTGGCTCCTGAGACCATCGAAGACCATGTTCATGCCGGGGGTCTGGGGTGCTGCCTGGGGCCATGTTGATCCTGGTGGCCTGCATTGTCATCTGGGATCATGGTGACATCCAGGCTGGGAGGCTGCCTAGGACCATGTCTGTGTCTGTGGTCATAACACAGCCAAGTCTGTATTGATGTTCGTGGCTCATGTTGCCACCAAAGGCCACATAGATGCCTGGGGTCTGGGCTGCAACCTGTGGCCATGAGGGTGTCCAAGGGCCATGCTGCCACCAGGGACATCTGATCTGAGTGGCCTGTGCTGCCATGGAGCCATGGTGATTGTGTGTCTGGGCCCAAGCTGCTGCTGAGGGCCAGGTCTGGGTCTGTGGTGATGTTCATGGCCCACATTGGCATGGAGGTCATTGGAGCTATGCTGTGTGGAGCAGGCCTGCTGTTCACTGGCCCTGGGATAACTGGTCCTGCACCCTTGCTGGATACTGCAGCAGGTGAGCTGGCAGTACCCCTCAAGGGAGAGCTCACCCCCCCAGGCTCCCCCACACTCAGGACTGCATAGTGACCCTGTCTCAAGAAAGAAAGGACCCTTTTTTCTAATACCATGGCTTTGTAGCAATGAAAAGCAGACACTGGATTTTAGATTACAGGCTATACCGTCACTCATCAGTGCTCTCCAAAATCAGCAGTCAACCCTTCCTGTTCTTGAAGGTCTCTTCTTGACAACAGTGTAGTATTCTCTCTGTTCTTTCCTTTTGCAGCCACTGTGACTGAGCCACTGTTTCTTCAGTGCCATACTTACTATTCCTGCTTCTCATAGTCCACTGGCTGAATAAGATACCTATCCATATCTATTGCTCCATCAAAGGCTATGCCTGTGTCTGTTTGTCCCACTAGAGCAGGACTCTGGAAAGAGGAAAAAAATGAATTCTCAGCTACAAGGGGCTGCTTGGGATTTTGTGATCGCCACCAATTAGAATATGGATATTCCCTGATTTATTATTCAGCTTCCTCTTTCTCCAAATTAGCCGAAGCAGACAAGGAGTGCACTAAAAGAAACCAGAACAGATAATATTTGGAATATTCCCAAAGCATTCATCCTCTAGAAGTTCCTCCATATTTCATCTGATTTTATGAAAGCCAAATTGAATATCTTTAGCAACTGCTAGGGCCACACAGTTAACTCCACCTGAAATGAAAATGAAAAAAAAAGAAAAGCTAGAGGTGCAGGGCAGTGATGGCACATACCTTTAATCCCAGGACTCGGGAGGCAGAGGAAAGCGGATCTCTGTGAGTTTGAGACCAGCATGGTCTACAAGAGCAGTTCCAGGACAGCCTCCAAAGCCACAGAGAAACCCTGTCTCGAGAAAAAAAAAAAAAAAGGAAAGAAGGAAAGAAAGAAAGAAAGAAAGAAAGAAAGAAAGAAAGGAAGGAAGAAAGGCTAGAGGTATCTCTACATATGGGCAGCCAATAGTCTAAAGGCAGACAGCAGGTTCTTTGCTCTGCAGTATGGAGACCAGGCTAGCCTTGAAATTGCAGAGATCCATTTTGCCTCTGCCGCCTAAGTGTTGGGGTTAAAGGCATATGCTACCATGTCCAGACCATTGTGACCATAATTTCGGATTCTTTTTTGTTGTTGTTTTTGGTTTCCTAGCAAGCTCTCCCACTCTTATGAACCCAGAGCCAGCTCTCTATTTCACCTGCGGCAGGTGGTAATGGGTAAGAGGGGGCCATCTTTCCCCCTGCCATACCTCCATATGGTGAAGATCTTTTCCCATTCTGTGGGCTGTCGTTTTTTCTTACTGACTGTGTCCTTTGCCTTACAGAAGATTCTCAGTTTCAGGACGTCTCATTTATTAATTGTAGATCTCAATGTCTGTGCTACTGGTGTAATG